GGAAGACTTTTTAACCAATCTGTCTGTAATATTTGATCAAATTGACTTAAAAAGCTCTCAGATTACATGTGTTATTAACTGGCACTATGTAAATAAGGTGAATTGAAATGAATAATGACAAAATCTAGCATCTGGATTTAAGTTAATATGTGAGTGCTAAGAGAAAGAAATTTTCAAATATGTCAGATTTGACCCATTGAGTAAATGTAGCCTGAGGATAAAATTATAACTGGAGGACAAACATTTTCCTCATCAGGTTGAGATGAAGAACAAGACGCTGATAATGCACAGTGATTAAACAAAGGGGTACACACTGGGAGGATTTAAATGGGAACCAATCACATTCTAGGCACATCACAGTTTGTCAAGGTAAGATGTTGCATGAAGGACAAGACAGTCTGCAGTAGAACTTAACCATGTGTTATCTGAACCATTACTGGACTACACAGAAATAATCAGTAACATTGTTCAGTTTTTAAACAGACAGAACAAACTTATTACTTTAAATTTTATCATCTGCACCTTGTAATCACCACCAACAAAACCTCATCAAACTGTTAAAAACATTTTCATCACTCTACACGAAACATTATAACATGTACCTGAGCTCCTGAGGGAATTGGGCCGCAGCTGTGTGGTCTCCGGCTGCCATACACCAACCTGTAGCCAGACTGCAGTAGACGTTGACCCAGAGAGCGCCCCAAGTCCCCTGTCCCAAAGATACACACTTTCTCCTCCTTAAGGGTGGCTGGAGCACTCACAGGGTACAGTGACACGCTCTCTTGTTTTACCTCTTCAGACATCCTGTTCTGCCTGTCCGCCGACGTCAAAGAATTGGATACAAATAATAAGTCTTGTGGATTTGACAGGATGACTTGCTCCTACATGTGGTTCTTCTCCCAGGGCCACGACAGCTAGACTGAGCTCTGCCTTTATTAAAGGTAAATGTATCTCACTTAATTTGCCTTAGAATTGCCAGCCTGTCCTGTTTGCCATGGAAAACTCTGCTGTCTGTTGTGCTAACTCACTGCAAGAGCTGAACTTTCAGTCTTAAGGCAGTATTTATTATGTCCCACCCCCTTCAGTTCAGAATTGGCTCTCTCTACAGCTTGTCTAAACTGGGAAACTCCATGGCAAAAGGTAGGAAGCATTTGTGCAAGTCCTGGCATAGGCTTTCTTAGTGTAACTCTGTTTCCTGCTCTGTGTTTGTGTGATTATTTGGCAAAACCTCTGGGAAGATTCCTGTGTTCCCTGTTTCTGGGAAATGAGCAGGTCTTCTGTGACATATTATGCAACATTGGAAATAACACTCTAATATCCAACAGCCTGCAGAGCTGGCCAGCTATTTTCCAGTTTTGCTAAATCACTGTTATAAATCCCTCTTGTTTAGATGGTATAAATCAACCCTACATGTGGTTGAAAGAACACTTTGGAGATGTTTATTTTTCTGTTTGTAAAAGTGAAGTATGAGTGAATCAAAGCTCAAAACATGCTTAAATCTTAAAGCAAGTTTAGCTCTGTTATTCATGTATGTATCGCCTTTCATCCCTGGCTGTAAATCAGTAACACTGAGCTCTTCAAAAACAAACATTTAAAGTAAATACCAGGTCACAGTATGCAAATATATGTACACAAACACAAAATGTGCTGGTATGCTTTGAAGTCCCCTTCCTCTCTTTTCTGCACAGTTTCAGCTCAACATCCATGAAATCCACGTGGTCTACCCCAAGCTCATTATTATTTTGACAAGAGGAGAAAACAAATAGCACACATTTTTTTTATTAGCGAGAGGTTATTTGGTCTTGCACTTGGAGCGAAAAAAACAGTCCTATAATCAGCCACTAATGCATTGGTCAGCAGAGGAGCTCACTAAATCACAGAGTGTGCAGGAAAACCCACCAATTACAATCTAATCTGCACTCTTGTGTCGGCTTCTATGAGTAATTAATGTCCTTAGCCCTGTAACTCAAGTTGGCCTTTGCCTGTAAACCCTTCCTTTACTCCCAGAGGATGAGAATAGCTCCAGTGTTCAGAGCTGGGGTGAACCACAGACCTGGTGATCTGTCCAAAGCTGTAATTGCTAACTATGCTCTGAAGCCTTACTCAATCGCCAGTAAATATTTGTGTGGGCACGTGTTTGTGAAATATTGCTGCTTTTTCTTTTCTTTTTTTTTTTTTTGCTGATGAGACACCTGTACATTCATAAGCCCAAACATCGTCTTTTTTAAGCACATCCTTGTAACTTATGTCTGGAATTGGAGACCAAAAGCAAAAAAGGTGTAAAAAGACAGCACTGGGCAAATGCAAGGCTGCTGAGACAGCATCTAGAAGTTGGCAAAGAGTTTTTATGTTGTGTATAGGACACTCAGATAAAGAACTGATAGCTAAGTCTCCAGCTCCATTTGAGTGAGCAAAATTCTTATTCTTACAGAAAAAATAATATTATCATCATAGCTTGTAGACTTAATAAACAGCACACCTATCCAGGGATTACAAAGCCTTGTTTATGATTTATGTGTATTTCATTGACTGCTCTTGACAAAAAAAATAAAATAAAAAATATGTTTTGCATTTCTCAGACATTGTTTTTTCTGCCTCACTTTTGAACATAATTATTACTCAGATGCGCTTTTGCATGAACCACCTCTCAGAAAAAGCGATAGAGAAGGTATTGATTTAATTAAACCACTGTAGATAGTTATTAATTAATAATTGTTATTATTAAGTTATATTATTGATCATAAACTGCAGTGTTATACTGGTAGTGGACATATGAGCAACAACATTTTAATTTAATCTCCATACACATGGTACAACATGGACATAGTGCAATTTCCCGCCATTAATTGGTGATATAATCTTTGAAACAACAAAAAAAGAAAGAAGAGTATTGGTTTGCTCAAAAACCTTCATTATTTTTAAAAGAGTTACCAGTTCAGGAAAATATGCTGTGAATGTACATCGGTAAAACCATAAATCAAGCTGCATCACAGGTGATAGTCCACTGGGAATATAAAAGCTTAAAAGCCATCATGGCTCGAACAACTTCTGCAGCAAAGTGTATTTACCGAATACCTCAAATCAGTGTGGACATCAAAGCTATGGGGTAAGTGTGTCTGTGGTCACGATAATAATCTCTAGCCTATATATCGGAAAAGTGCTGCCAGTTAGGAAAGAGCTAAGGCCAGGAACATGGAATATTTGTGCAACCTAATAGGAAACATTAGCTTCAGTGGCCTAAATTGTACTAAATGCTGCACTCTAAATAGCAATTGTTAGTGCCCGAAGGCAATGCTTTATGCAGAGCTGAACTGTTATAGTTCTTTCAGTATTGAAATTCAACTTTATCTTCTGTTTACAGGCAAGATAGTATGCCTTGTTGCAATATATATTTCACCTTATTTGGTGAAAGATTGTGTTAAAATTGATCTTCTCTCAATCTACTGTTCACATTTCTATAGAAGTAGTTTTTCATAGAAAATGTGTAAAATGTTAGACATTTCTATAAAAAAAAAGCTAAAATATTATAACTTTTTCCTTATCCAAAGGTTGAATAATGTAAATAGTTGGATTTAAAGTAATATGTATGTGTTTAAATCCAACTACTTACATTATTACACAACAAGCAATATGTATGTGTTGTTGTGTTTACATATTTATTTATTCAATATTGAGGAGGAAAAAAGGGTTTTTGAATCAAAAAGGTGGTTTATTTTGTCAATTATATGCTTTTTGATTAAAATGCAATAAATTTTGATTAGTTCATTCCAGACCCTGTAATTAACCCGATTAAAAGTTTTATTTGAGTCCCACCACTAGGTTGTCCTATCTGCATGACAACAAAGACAGTAATATGTTTTGAAGTCATTACTCTGTAATCTTTTTTTAAATTGGTCATTTCAGTGAAAATGTGTGGTGTTATCATGTGGAAGAATAGTAACAAAACTTTTCCATATCCACAAAAAAATGTTGTGTAAACAGGACTTTAGGTTGACCCTTTACTTAACCAAGTTGTCAGTCATTTAGTCTATAAGTGAAAGGTAAGTATCTTTACTTTTTTTTGTGTCATCAAGAAAGGATTTTTTTTTTCCATCAGGTCTTTGGGATAAAAAAATAATCCATTTGCTTTTGTAGATACGTTTTCTGTTGCATATGGTGTCATCATCTATATAGGGTAGTCCTTTTCTGATTGAGGGCAAAATGACCCTAAAGGATCTTTTAGCAATAATTGTGTACTCAGATATTTTCTCTGTTATGAACTGTAACTGATCTGTTTTTGCTTTTATGCCACAGAAATTAATCTATAGCAACCATACTGACATTATTAATCATATCCAAAAGACTTCAACAATCAAAAAAAAAAAAGATAATGGACCAAAATTCTTTGGAAAAAATTGCACAGCGACGAATGTGTTGCATGAAATAAACCAGGCTGGTTTGTGTCACTTATTAGGAACAGTTTCTTTTTCACTCCCGCATAGAGTAAACATATAGCCATGAATGACCTAAAGTTCCTTGGCTTCTTAAGCCAAATACCAAGATCAACCAGAAAAGTATCTTGCAGGCCTAAACAAAACAGGCTACATTTCAGTTAGTTTATCAGCTGCAAGCAAACACTTTAAACAAACTGACCTCAAACAGCGTGGAATTTTTGTTGATTATCAAAACAAAAGTGAGTGGAGACGGCAATCAAATATCAAATGTCAAGTATGGAAGCAGACCTTATAAGGGAAGGGTGATGATTGGACTGGCCAGTGTTCCCAGGCTAAAGCCATTACCCTGATTAGCTTTACACTTCTAAATATATATAAGCAAAATGCACAATCCATGAAAGCTACAAAATAGATGCAAATGCATTCAGGTGCATGAATTGAGGCTTACACTTAAGTCCTGCCATCTATATATTATTGACCTATACTCTGACGCAGGAATTGATTACCATTTATTATGTTGGTTCAGTAGCAACCTTTAAGGGTCAAGATTTATTTTTCAGTAGTATGCCATTAAATATCACCTCTTTCCTCTTCTATCTAAGTATTTTTTGTGCATTTCCTTTGAAACTGTTTAATGTACTAATTGCTTCCATGTTTGGTTGGAGAAGGGTGATATGGCTTTGTAGCTATTACTTTGTACTCATCCCTCCTTTACATATTGTCATATTTACAAAATCTACATAAATGTTGTATTTTATTCAGATTTCAAGTACAAAATCAATATAAAGGTTACCAAAACTGCAAAATAAAAAAATTAAACAATATTTTTTTACATTTACAAATAAAACCTAATATTTTTATTTATTTATTTATTTCAGAAATAGGAATCAAGAATCGTTTTCATTTAAGACCCATAAGGAAATTTTGTATGGAACCCTGGCTTAGATTGTTTATATGAAGAATATAGACAAAAGGAGATAAAAACACACATGCAGATTTTAAGGCATGTCAGGAGAACTGGGTCATTTATAGCAGATGAAAGCATCCTTAAAGAGGAGTATGGAAATATGTACATAGGGATGCAGTATGATTTATTTGCATAAAGCGCAGCATGATGTATTTACATAAAGAGCATCTTGTACCAGAGAAGCCTAAGAACCATCATCACTCATGAAATGGTTTCTTTTTTCCTCTATAGGAGGGTGATTGCTTTCACAGTTCTGGGAAACAGTGGCGCTACCAGGGGGTATCCAGGGGTGGCCATTGCCACTCTGTGCAATGCCCTGGCGACCCCACTGGCCAGGGTAAATTATATTATGATCAGTTTAGCATTTCATTCCATTATCCACAGCCAGCGACATAATATTTTAAAATCCCACAAATAAACCAAGATATGAGTAGGTGTTTACTTAAGTCTTTATGATTTCTGCAAGCACATTTACCACAATGGTAAATTTAAACCCTGATATTATGGCTTTGAGTTTCAGTGTGTGACCCAAAGATTTTTAGTGGCCCCATCTTGATAGTCAGACAAACGATTCATAGCCCGGATATGTGGAGTCTGTGTCAATGGGTATGTCCCCTTTCTGGACTCATGTAACATAAACTTAATCAA